TGGCCATTCTAATAAAAGTTTAGCAGTATTTTGTTGTTTAATTTGCAATTTTGGTACCTATTTTAATTTCATCATTGTATAAATAAATAAACTGAGGCTCAGGGTAGTTAAATAACTTGCCCATGATTCTATAGCTACTAAGGAGCAGATTCAAACTTAGTTTTGTCAGACTCCGAAGCCCTAGTGCTTTTTATTCTGTGGGATGCCTTCTACTTAGACAAGAATAAAATTCAAATTCACACATGGAGGGCACCCGAGAGTAGTTTCCGGCCTCATTTATTACTTAGTTTAGGTTCTTTCAGAAGAGGATCCTGAGACAAGAAGATACCAGGAACAGTGGGGAAATGAGGGAGAGAAAGGCAGCCGACGAAGGATATGTTTGAATACAGTTGTCACTGTGGGTGACTGCACTTACTCCTACAGGGAACCTGGGGCAAAAGTGCTCAATATTACTCAAAACGTGGTGTGTGACAATACTGGTCCCTGAACTGTTTGAGACTGGTTCAGGATAAAGAATGTATAAAAAGCAAAAGTATTTAGAAACTTTTATAACAATTTGACATTTCTGTGACATCCATTTTTTAAATAACTCATTTTCTTTTTTTAAGTACCCATTCGCGATGGATTAAAAACAAACAAACGAACAAAAAACTGATCCAAAAATAGTTTGAGAAGCACCGTGTAGAGCACAAGGCCCAAAGTGATTCCATACAAAGAGCAAGGGAGCTAGGGTATTTATACCTCACTTCCCATCAGGTCAGTCCTTAGTTGAAAAGTGTTCACTCCCCAGCACTTCTGTCTCTGTGGAATGAACCAGTGGCATATGGAGGGACACAGGAAAGTCAACAAAGCATCTGAATTTCATAACGCTAAGAAACCACATCTCTATAATCATTCTGATAGTGAGTTAATAGCTAAAGAAGCATTAGTTTGCCACATGCTATAGAAGTGTAACAGAAAGCTGAAATGGAATTATGCACAGATAAAATGTTTCATTCGGAAGTACCCATGAAGGTGACTAATACTGCAACCCAAAGCACAGGTGGTGAGGTAGCTAAATTAAAGCTGCATCATTACCTGAAATCCAACTGTAATTAAAAGCAGTAGCCAGTGGAAGTTAGGATATGTGAGCAATAAGCATTTGCCACTTTTCAGGGCTCTCTTCATCAACCCAAGGGAAAACGGTATTAGATTTTCTACTGAGAAAGCCAAAGGCAAGAGCTCCTCCTTCTTCCCTCTATCCCCAGAAAGCCAGGGGACTCACATGTGACTGAAGTCATGAAAATGAGACATTTCCAACCAGGATTCCAAATCGTGGGCAAGTGGTCCAAAGATGAAGGAATGCTTAGAAAACATTCTCGTTTGCTGGCCACTTACTGCTACTGCTTATGCCTCCCATGGTTTCTGGCCTCTTCAATCCTGGGCTCTCAGCCTCCTGCTGATTCTGTAAGCTCCCAATTTCCTTCCAATCATTGCCTTTTTTACTTATGGCAGTCACAATCTGCAACTCTGTTACTTGAAACCAAAAGTCATCACTGATATGAGGTGGCGGAGCAGGATCAGAGCTCTGATTCATGCCTGCTCAGTAATTCTCCTAAAGTGACGTCAGTCTCCTCACTAACCTGGTTCTCAGTTTCCACATATGTAAAATAGGATTAGTTCAGAGGTGTGCTTTGCAGAAAATTAAGTTGTGAGATGTTCCCTGAATAAAGGGTTATTTCTTTGGAGAATCCAATTGCATGCCAGTCTATTTGTTTCTGGAAAATCCTTCAGTAAAGGATATAACTTAATTTTAACTTAGTATTTCCCAAACTTAATTATGAAAGTCTTGTCTCTGAAAACATTAACATCTTATAGAGTTAAGCATCCACAGAATACTTCAGGAAGAGACATTGGCTCCAGCAGTTCATTTTTCTTTGACGTTGCAACTGATAATGGAGTTTGTCAATCGGTATACAAGAGGCCTTTGAGGAACTTCTGTATTAATCCATTATGGTAGGGTTCTTAACCCTCACTGCATAAAGACCCATTTGAGAAACCTGTAAGAAAGCATATTTCTGGGCACCACACAAGATCTACGAATTCAGAATCTCCTGGAATAAAGGTAAGGAATCACTTTATAGGTGATTCCGTTGGAGGCAGTCTTCTGTCCACAGTATAAGGAACCCTACCTTATGTAATATTTCAGTGAAAAGTAACTTCCAGTGGCTTATGTTCTTTATTATCAGAAGGAGCTAGAAGTCATAGTCACAATAATTATCTAGGCCATTCATCATCTCTTAAGAGCTACAGATGAAGCAAGCTTATATACAACTGGTAAACATCTACTTAAAACCTATTGAATATCTCTAATACTGACTTCAGAAAGATATACAGGCAGTCCCAAGTTACAATGATGTGACATATTTTTTTTTTTTTTACTTTATGATGTTATAAAAGCAATATGAACTCAGTAGAAAATGTACTTCGAATTTTGAATTTTGATCTTTTCCTTGGTGAGTGATACGCAATATGATACTCTCTCATGATGCTGGGCAGCTGCAGCCAGTCACAGCTCTTGATGAATCAATGACCTGATTGCAAGGGTAAACAACTGATACACAACAGAGTATTCATTGCATTAGATGATTTTGCTCAACTGTAGGTTAATATAAATGTTCCGAGCACTTTTAAAATAGGCTAAGTTAAGTTATGATGTTCAGTAGGTTACATGTGTGAAATGCATTTTCATCTTATGGTATTTTCAACTTATGATGATTTTATCAGGACATAACCTCATCATCCGTAATATGAAAGTGGGAATATGCTTTTAGCTGTAACTGTGAGGTCAATAATTTGGACAAAATCTAGTTACAAGGCTGAATACACACTAAAAGGAGCACTCTGTCAGATGTCTCTCTCATTTCTGCTATTCAGCTATATAGCTTATTCATTTCTCACCATAAAATGAGTTGGTGAGAAATCAATGATAAAGGAGTAGGAAGGAAACTTAATTCATCTAATTTTATGACTTATCAGCAACTAAAAGAATCTGATGATAGGAAGGCTGGCATGAATTGCTAAAATGCTATTTTTAGACTATGTGAATTTCATTTGTTCTCATTACTACAAATGATGAAAAACTAGCTGTCAGAAATTTCAAAGCAAGAGAGCAGAACATGATAAAAACAGGAATTAATCAAGTCAACATCTTCTGAAACATTTTTTCTCTGTTAGAATTTTTCAGGTAATATGCTGTACATTTTCTTACAGGAAAAAGAAGGAGATGTGGTGACCAACTCATTTATTAGAAACAAGGAAACTTTTTGTTCCTAGGCCACTCATTATATTTACTGTAAGAAAATCCTACAAATGATTTGTAGGGTTCAAGAGAATTCACTTTTATCTTTATCGTTCAAAATGTACAGATAACTTGTTTGTAAATAACTTACAAGGATCACAGTCTCACAGCTGGGATAGTCTGCTTTATTTTATTTTGATTACCAGAATTATAACCTCTCTGCAACTGGGAAGCAGTGATAAATGGTGCTGTGCTTATTCTTTAACAACTCCATAAAACCGGCTTCCTGAAATATATTTGCCTGGGCTTCATTAAACAAACTATGGAAGTCTTTCTTTGTAATATAGAGTGCACTTACATGCACATCTTTGTAGTACTATGAATTGACTTTTTTTCCTTTATTATATCACTGTGCTGTCACAAGGGTGGCTGCATTCCATTGGACTGTGCAGTCTTTGGAAAATACTCATGTTGCCCACTACAAGTCGGTAATCAAAGCCTAAACATGTTCATTTGGTGTTCAAATTTCAAGTCCTTATCGCCATCCAGCCACGTTTCAGGCCCTTCTGTGTTCTTAAGAGCACAGAAAGTAAAACTGTAGTTGTTCAAACTTGGAACTAGGAAAGAAAATAATGAAACTGAGCTGGATTTCATTCCACCTATTTAGAGTACATTGCCGATAGTGGAATTGTGTTTATAAGTACCAGTTTTTCAGGTTTGGATCATTCATTTTGTCTCTCAAAAAAACAACCAAAAAAAAAACAAAAAACAAAAAACAACAACAACAACAACAAAAAACCTGTTTTGCAGATCCAGGGCACTTGTAATTTTCCAACTGGGTTCCTGCTTTGCTTAGCTAATTCTGTGGGCTTCAAAGTGCAGTCCACACCTGAAAACGGGGAGTTTTTCAATGTTGTGGTTTATTAATCAGGTACTTTCCATTCACTCAGTTAACAATTAGAAAACAGAAAGAAAAAAGAGAGAGAAAGCCTCCTACTTGTTTTTTATTCCAAATATGGAGATGGAAACTATTAAACACGTAAGAAGGAGGGAAACTCCAGCATATTTCACCTTGACCTGGCTGGACTGCTCTAATGCCTGTAAAAGGAGGCTGCTTCATGAAAGAGGTCGAGCAGGGGACTAGTGGGAGAATGAGAGGTCAGATTTTTACCAGGGAGAACCACTCCTGCCCCTCGAGGAAAAAGAGAAGCATTGCCCTGTCTCAGACTGGAAGCCGCCTCGCTTTCAATCCCGGGGACTAGCGTGGTAATGACGCGACTCAAGCGGGCGCGCAGCTTCCCTGACAGCAAAACACCCGCTCCCCGCCTGCACTTAAATTTCTGATCTCCGAGCAGGTAGAAATACCCTCCCACCTCCTTTCCTAGTTTCTCTCTCCTGCTTCGCCGCCCTTCGAAACTTCTTTGTTCCGTTTATTGGAAAGGTGACGCTTAAAGTCAAAAGACTCATTATAACTAGCAAAATCCCAAAGCCACCACCAGACGCTGGAAAGAGCAGGACTGTCCAGCTCCGGGCTGAGGCTCCGAGTGGAGAAGGCGGCCACGAGAAACTTCAGCCCGCAGCTCCGAATACAATCTCTGCAGACTGGCCCACATTTCTAGGGGCTGGGGAGATGCCAGACAGTCTTGGGGTGGGGCGAAGAGTGAGCTCCGCGAAGAGTGAGCTCCTAACTCTGCAAACAAAGTGGGCAGTGCGCACCAGCGGAACAGAGGGTGTTGGGGGCGGGGAGAGGCCCGTGGGCTCCACTTTGCAGCTGCCGAGCAGTATCTCCGAACAAAGGAGCGCGCAGCGCCGCCGTGAGAGGCTGGGTTTCCGCGCAGCTGCCACTCGGGCTGAGAGTCTCTACACCCGCTATGCGAGCGTTGGGGTGCAGGAATTAGGGGCGGAAAGAAAGGAAAAGGGAACAGGGCGTGCAATTCCTGTTGTGGGGCTACGCATAAGGAGTTCTTGTGAACGACGGGAATGGTAACTATCAGAGCCAAGGGGGAGAGAGAGAGCTGGAGTGAGCAAAACAAAGAGCGAGTGTGGGCCCTGGTGTGACTTCATGCCTTACCAATGTCCCGCCCACGCTGCTGCTGCGAACCACCCCCTCGCCTGCGGGCGGCCGGGGCAAGGCGTTCGGCGGCGTGGGGCGGTTTCCTAGCAACTGCAGCCCCCAGCGTACCCAGCTATCAGCACATTGGGAGCCCCCACACACACCCGGGGCCGGGGCAGGACCACTCCTTCCCGTCCCCCACCAGCCTCGCCTCCCTTGCATCCTCGCGGAGTGCACCCCAGAGCGCGCCAGCAGTCCGGGCTCTGGACAGCCGGACGCCTGAGCCGCACACTGGGGCCAAAAGAACGAGGGCACGAAGCTCCCGCCCCACGAGGCCGGGCTCCTGCTCCCCCACGGAACCTCCCCTCCTGTGCTCGCCGCGGTGCGCTCCACTCCTGGCCGAGTACGGAGCTGCGATGCCCAGCTCTGTGTCCGCGGGAGCCGGCGGGGGCTTCTAGGGCGCTCCTAGAGCCCCCTCCCCTGGCTGCTGGCACTCTGAGCTTTCTTCCTCACCAGCTAGGACGCTGCCGCTTTGACTCTGCCCCGCTGTTCAGCTAATCAGGCTGCAAAGCCGAAACTAAGTGGAGTTGGCCTTCCTGCCCACCTGTGGAAGAAGCTCGCGCTGATTGATGCGCCATCGACTTTTTCCCCCTCGGCCTCGCCGGCGTCCCCTCCCACAGATGAAGCATCACTCAGTGAATGTACATTAGGCTGGTTTTTCCCCCCAGCTTCGGGCTTTGTTTGGGTTTGATTGTGTTTGGCTCTACGCTAAGCTGATTTATGCAGCAGAATTCCCATCGGCTGGGGAGAAACAAAAGCTCTTTTCTTTGTCCCAGAGCGGGCTGCGGAGCCATCGCTCGCGTCGTCGCCCCAGGCCATTGGCCATCGGAGAAGGTGCTTCTCGCGGAGATTTCGGGACCCGCCGTGCCGAACTGGGAGGGCCACGGGGGCCCTGAGATGCCGAGCGGTGTCCAGGCCAGCATACCTGCACCGGTTGCTCCCAGCGGCAGGGTCCGCCTGCCGGGCCTGCTGGAAACGTCCTAGCGACACTTGGTCCGCGGGCCCCGAGGTGCGCCCAGGAGGCGCGAGCGCGCATCCGAATAGCAGCCAGGCGGCGGGCACGGTGCAGGCTGCTTTGCATTATGTGCCGCTCAGCCCTGGCATTTTTTACTGCCGCATTTGTCTGTCTGCAAAACTGCCGGCCTGGTCCTGCCCCATTCCTCCGGGCGGCCTGGGTATTTTCAGTTGTTCTTGGACTGGGCCAAAGTGGTAAGTTTTGTTTGTTTGTTTTCTTTTGTTTTCTCTTCCCCCAAAGGCCTTAGGCTGTTACGAAGAGCATCCCCTCCAGGTAAGGGCACCCGGTATCAGCCTCCCTCCATCTGCCCTGAGGACTTCAGAGAACGGTGTGTAGCAGCGTCCTCCATCGCATGCGGCCTGCGGGAGGCCAGGTGTCAAGCATTTCCGCCCCAGAGTGACAGCAATAACTAATTATAGGAGGACATAGCCGTGTGTTGCTCCTGGATGCTGGGGAAGCAGTAATAGAATGGAAGTTCGAAAGGGTGGGCGGTCCTAATTACAGAAGCCAGTTTAGGGGTTCTGCTCCTTCCTTGAGGGTATCCTTAAAGATATCCTTAAAGGTATACCTTTCTAGCATGTGGGTCTAACCACTAGCTTACATTTGATTCAAGGCTGAGGATAGACTTGTATAACACGAATGAGTCTTCTGTTTTTGAGTTCATGAGAGAAAAGAATGGCAGCATATGAGTTTCTTCTATCACAGTGCTCAGCCTCAATGAATTGAAAAGTGTCTATGTGTAAATGTAAGGTGGCACTACTGGCTTGTGAGTAAACAGTATAACATACAGTAAGTGATAATAATAACTATCAATTTAGGATGAGCTCTTATTGGTTTTATATATTTATTTTTGCCAATGCAATGATTATTATCATAGTCTTGTTTTTAAATTACTTTATGTGTTTGGCCACCCAGCCCTTAAATTCTATTAGAGACTTTCGCTGACCTCTCCTGTTGAAGGAGAGTTGGAATTGGTTTATAGACTAAAATTCTCTCTGATGCTTTGTACTGATATGCCAGGTTTTTGCCTGAAGCTAATTAAAATGGCGAGTCATCTTATAAATAAGGGTTTATGATGGAAACATCCAGCTAGCTTCATTTACTTGTTGCATATGCAGTTACTTAACATTTGTTTCAAAAGGAGATGTACCCGGTTATGTGAAATGAGAGCAATTAGAGTAAATTTTTATTTTGTGGTTATTTTGGCTTATGTGTTGATTTCAAAATAAGTGAAACTTAAGGCAAAGGAAAAAGTAACATTCATTATCAATTATCTCTTAAGTGGAACATGAATTTGTTGCAGCAGATTTTTCCATTGAGCATAACTCCATCCTGTGTTAATAAGTGACCAAGTATTTTTCTAGATTTAGTAAACACATGCACGCACACACACAATAGTAAAATGACCAAAACTGTCAACAGAGTATATTTTGCTCCCAATAGGCGAAGAAAAAAGTCCTACTTGCCTCTATAATTGGATAATAATAGTAATAATTTTAAAATATTCGTTGTGCTTGTAAAGGTTAGTCAAGTTCTCATGTACTTATTCGAAGTGAATATTATGAACGGGCTCCTTTGCACCTGCAGTTGTGAAAAGGGAATGCTTATCTGAAATCAGAACAAGGCATCCTTTTCCCAGTCTCTGTCAATATACAAAGGTTTCTGATGTATACTGGTTTGCACTGCAGTTAAAAACATGCAAAAAATTTAAATTATAGCCAGCACAACTCAGAAAATTAGAGATCAGCATAAACTGTTGTACTTTCGTGATATAGCTACAAGTCTCAAATTATATGTCTTCACAGTGCAAATTAGATGCTTAAAGCAGAATAGAAATTTAGGTATCAGTTACAAAGGAAATCTTGTTCCCTTGTTCAGTAGTTTACACCAAGGAAATGTTGAGAGCAATAAAGCCATACAAAAGAAATCATAAACTGCGCAAAACACAACCTTGGACTTAATTTTTAAAGTAGAATTTGTGGGGGCCCAAATACGTAGTGAACTTTTAATAATAAATATTTAGTGAGCAAGAAGAATGTTAATAAAATCTAAACATTTTTCTGAACTAGAAGAAAATTATTGGAGTTTGTTTTCGACTTTCCCTGGTGGAAATTACCGACAATTAGAGCAATAACACTAAAAAAAATGGTTAATGAGTAACTGGAAAACACTAAAGAATACCTAGTGGTTAATATCTGAAGAACTAATGCAGCAACATTGTTGTTTCTACATTTGTTAGTTTTGAAAGGTTAAAAATCTTTTTAACTAAATTTTTATATAGCAATACAAGAGTGACAAATTTCAAAAATCACCATTTCTTTTTAAAAAGTAACCATTATGCAATGAAATTTCACCTTTTGTGCATAATCAACTCTTTATTCTTTTAATAACAAGCAGCTGGATTAATATTTACATCAGAACGTGTGCAACGTAACTGTTTCATAACATAACCGTTCTCAGATTTCTCAATGCTTACTTAAAGCAAGAGGATATTTAAGAGAACCAAACCTTCATTTTGAAAATCCGGTCTTCCAAATTATTTACACAATAAGCACCCAAATTAATTCTATCCTAAAGCAACTGAGACACTTTCTGATGAAAAAAAAAAAGTTCGTGCTCTATACGAAAGCAAAGTAACTGATAAGATAAGAAACATGCCAGAAAAATTTCTGTAGTCCCAAATATTCACTTCTTACCAAATTATCTGAAATTTCCCATTTAATGGATTTCTTTGGAATAAGTATGGTATTTACTCTATGTTTCTTTCCATTTTTAACTCTATATTACGGAAATTTTCCTACACATATGGAAGCAGAGAGAATGGTAAAGGAATCGCTGTATACCTATCACCTGCTTCATCTGAGTGATAGGCATCAACTGAGGGCCAACTTCTTTCATCTCTCTTCCCACCTAGTTCATCTCTTTCCCGCAACTAGATTATTTTGAAGCAAATCTCTCATATCATTTTACCCTAAATATTTCAATAAATCAAAATACTATTGGAAGAAGAACACAGTCACTAATCCCATATCATTAATTTTTTTTTTTTTTTTTTTT